TGCACGTTGGCGATGCAAAAAACGGGTTCTGCGTTGATGATGATCCTTGATGCATTTCACATTGACTTTGTACAGAGACCTTCACGTTATGAATGATAAATCCTCAGGAAGATGGACAACCCATAATTAAAGCAGACGGTGAACTTGGGGTAGTTTATTACGCGGAATCCGTTTTTTTTGTTGGTTTGCCAGCATGCCAATCGGGTACCCTACACCCACAGAGAGCCAAAGAAAAAACGGACCCCGAAAATGCAGACAATAATTATTTTTTAGAACACGATTTGTTTGCGTTTGCGGACGATCCTCACTATTGGACCAGCGCCCCTACTGTGAATTGACAAAGACGGATGACAAAGCAAAGCACGAACATGGCGCAAACATGCAGTTAATAACAGTCGAGCTAGACTGTCTAGTACAGTAGTTGATCTGGAGGTTGCTGTGTGACCCTCTTTTTGACTGTAGATAAAAATAAACACTCGCAGCACAAAGAACAAAGCACGAACATGACACAAAGTTGACAAGAACAGCTAGCAAGAGCAAAGGCGCGGGGCAACCGCCACGCTGTAGGTTATGCTGCATTTTACAGGTTCCTCTCGTTCTGATAGAGAAACGGATGCTTGCATGGTAGAAACCGGAAACGCACTAATTCTGCATGTGTACCTAATACATGTACGTACTCACTTCACCGAAGGGTGACATGTTACCGTGACAACGCAGGCCTATACAATGTATCTACCTCCCGTTCACTGCAGACATGCGCCTGATATTTCAGCATGTCACTCCGAAGGAAGGACTGTCACCCAGAGTTTACCTCAGATTGTCGTCTGGTTTGACACCAATTAATTAACAGGGTAAACTGTACATGTAGCATGATGCGAGGTAACCTCTGGATGTTAGGCTGCGTTTACCTCGTGTGCTGGTACTAGATATTTAAATAAATGCAGGGTAGAAACCAGAGACACGGCTCTGAGTTGCTCACTTGAATGCATGTGTATCGGTAGTCCGGTACCTCTAATTATAGATAAATGTACATGTACACTGTATGTCTGATGCATGGTTTGTTACAAAATTAAAACACTCTATTTTGAAGAAAAAAATAGTAACATAGAAACAAAATAACCCTTCTTGATCTAACGACAATGACATTCACGTTAATGCTTGTCTATCTGGTATCAAATGATGAAACTATACGTCAGCGAATTTTCCAAAAGAAAGACAGGATAATTTCATATTTTTAAAAGATGAGCTGTTTATCGTCACAACTACATGGGTTTAGAAAACATCAATAGTAGTCTTTACATTTTGCTTATTGTATTGAATTGAACAGAGATATAGAGGACCGTTATTCATAAGGATCGTTGTTCGTAACGTGAGATGAGGGTCGCTATTCGTTATTCACATTCATTATTCATTATTCATAAGGATTGCTATTAATGACATGAAATCAGGGTCTCTATTCATAAACATAAGAGGACTCCAATTTTGTATTATGAATAGCGACCCTCTTCTCATATTATGAATAGCGACCTTCTATGAAATTGTGAAAAGCGGTCCTTACATGAATAATTACCCTTTTCTTAAATTATGAAGAGCGGCCCTAATGAGTAGCGGTCATTCTGAATAGTGGTCTTCAAGGAATTGCGGTCCGTATGGATAGCAAGCGGACTCCCTCAAATTATGAAGAGCGGCCCTAATGACTAGCGGTCATTATGAAGAGTGGTCTTCAATGAATTGCGGTCCGTATGAATAGCAAGCGGACCCCCTCAAATTATGAAGAGCGGCCCTAATGACTAGCGGTCATTATGAATAGTGGTCTTCAATGAATTGCGGTCCATATGAATAGCAAGCGGACCCCCTCAAATTATGAAGAGCGGCCCTAATGACTAGCGGTCATTATGAATAGTGGTCTTCAATGAATTGCGGTCCATATGAATAGCAAGCGGACCCCGAATATCCACTCCCTGGGAAGCATTCCAGTTAGTCACATTTTTCTGGGCACGCACATGGTAATCCAACCACAATGACGTTACCGGGTACCCAATCAACACCTGGGTGGAGTAGAGCAATGTCGATAAAATTCCTTGGTCAAGGATATGCCATGGCGGGCTTGAACCCATGAATTCTGCATTTCCCGTCGAGTGATTGAACCACTCGACTACACCTATGAAAGCTCATCTTTAACAGAGCCCCATTTCGCAAAACTTGTCATCAGTGACAGATGACAGTTTTGTTATACCATTAAGCAACTGAAATCCTTGCTTCTGATTGGTTTAGGAAGATTTGTCACTGATTTTTGTCATTGAAAAAGGGCTTTGTGAAACAGGTCCCTGGACTTAATTAATTACAAGTACATGTATGTGTACATGTACATGTACATGTATGTGTAAGTTTTTTTTTAGCACTGTCACTACATTAGCAGCAGTTGTGGCATCTTACTCCAATGCTGGAGGATCAAGATCTGTCTGATACATTCCTGTATCATGGTCTGCTGCCATCTTTGGCAAGGTGTAGTCAGTCAGCAGTACCAGCATTAGTGTGTTCAATAAAGATCTCATATAGACAACTGCATTATCAATTAATCATGTATGAAATATGATCATGCAGCAATCTTCATATAGAACTTAAAACTTATACATGTCCATATTAAAGGTAATACAAAGTTTTGGGAAATTTTGAAAATTGGGTGGATAGTGATTCTTTACAATTTTTATATATTTGGATGCGTCTGTGGATGTATTATAAGCACTAGAAAATTTAGCCCCTAAAGTACTTCTGCTTTCGAGAAAAATTGAATATAAAAATTTACAGGTGCTCCCGGTAAATTTTGATAAATTTCAAATAGCGCCTACGGCCGTACAATGGTAGCTGCGACCATGAAAATCTCAGAATATGTAGTTGTGACATATACTTTCCGAACGGGAACAACTAATCGGTAGATTTTACTCAAGAAACATTTGTTTTATAGCTTAATCTATATCTTGGCCTTAAGAGGGAGCTATACAACATACAGAGTTTATTATTTACAATTTCATAACTTTAGACTCGATTTCATCCGCGACAACAATCACTGAATATTGTAGGACCGCATATGCGTCCAATATGTTCATTTGAACCAAATTCATGACCCCATACCAAAACTTTGTATTACCTTTAAGTTAGGTTCTACGATATACAGGTACAGGACAGGTACATGTATATATGATCAATATTATTATTACTGAAATGCTCCCTTTGTATATTAACACAATGATGGAGTGCATTTGTATTTTTTTTCGGTGATAACAAACAATTGTGCATTTGTGCATTGTTTTTTATAATGTCTTCAGGACCATTTGCAAATTTTGCATGCTTTCTTGCGGGGCTCCAAACTAAATCTTATTCACAGGGGTTCAAAATTAAAATTCAGACCCCTGTTTTAATATCAGAATGGAGGGGGGGGGGGGGAGGGGGGAAGGGAGAGAGCGATGGGCTGGAATTAAAATCCTCTGGGCCATGTTTACAAGACCACTGAGCTTGATTTTGGGCCAAGTAAAGCTCTGAATATTGTAAATGATACATGTACATAGATGGCCTTTAACAAAGAACTGATGTACATGCAGTATTGCTCAGATGAATCGCTCTTTGAGATTTGAGAGTGATCTTTTCATTACTTGACAGTATCTATGGCAGCATTAATGGGAATTTTCCGTGCTGCCAGATTTGCTGCTGTGCTGTCATCATTGTACTGTCTGTAATCACTAGAGGGCAGGCTCTGGGAAAGATATGTTTACATGATGTGTGTATAGTCCTGTACACTATAGTTGAACAAGTCCTCTACTACAATGTTTTTGACACATTTTGAGTTTTCAATTCGTTGGAATATGATAGTGACAACTTGATTATTTAAACTGATTGGTTGATTGATCAATTGATTATCTATTTTGGAAGGGTTTGGGGTTAGAAAATTGGTTGTGAATCTTGATGTGCATCCCCTCTTTCTTTTTTTTCATCTTTTTTCCTATCTTTTTCCCCTTTTACCAATATTTTTTCCTCCGTATTTGTATTATTATGTATCCTTTGAGGGTAGTCGTACTATCAAGCTTTGCTTTAATACTTCGTCAACCCTTTTGTTTGATGCTTTCGATTAGTTACAGCCAGCCTTCATTTATTCTACATATATTCTTTTGTCATGTGTAAATTTGCAATGTTTGTTTGTTATATATTTGTAAAAAAGAAAAAGAAAATCAAACAGAAATAAATCAATCAAATACAAATCAAATCAAATTAAATGATTTGAAAAATTAAAAAAATTCTATGTGTACGACTATGCTGCACTTGACCTAGACCAGAATCTGGCCGGTTCTTGTATATTTTTATCTCTATAACACTTGCTGTGAGCTGTCGAAGATGGCATTATCAGGATTAAATGAAATGAAATGTATGTCCAATTTTCCCCCTAAACAACCAAGGCCTGAACTTGAGAATGGTTTTGATTTGAGGGGAATCACTTCCCCTTTCCACAACCAGGGCTTGACACTCACATGCACCCCGGGCACATGGGGCACCCAAAATCTATGTCCGGACCCCAGTCCCCCACCCTCCCCCCCCCCCCCCCCCCCCCCAAAAAAAAAAAAAAAAAAAAAAAAAAAAAAAACAGGAGTTACATGTATGCATACAGAAATTGTAAAAATTTCAATTTGGACCCCCCCCCCCCAACAAATAAAAAGTTATTATGTAGCCTTGCCCTAACTGACAGGGAGGATCAAAGTAGCCTTGAATTTATGTGCAATAAGAACGGAGAAGATCACGCTCTGTTTACTATGTGATATACTTGCGAGAATGGAAGATGCTCTACTGGTGTAATGTCAGGCAAGTTTAGACTATCAAATATTTTTGTCAAAATATAGACCAACACTATTCACTACATTTACATTTGTATCAATCGTAGAATGCACATGTGCAAACAGATGATATTGTTCCCTGGTAGTATATTGATCCATTTTAGTTACACTATCACGGAGAGAGAGATGAGGGTACCGGTAGTAGTTAAGTGAATTACGTGTGAAGACCAAACATCCATCAATAATGAAAGGTAGCTAGCCAGAAGCAGGGAGGCGTGATTGACACGCACTGAATTAATGAGCTCATCACAGGAGGGGGAAGGGCATTGGTATTGCCAGACCAGTCATTTAATGCCCATTGTCAATAATTGATTTTCCTGTATTGTCTACGATAGTGGATGTGAGTGATTTCCTTGCCTGCCAGCCAGCTACCATAGCTATCCCCTGTGCAGTTTGCCCCAGATTTTCTGGCCTTCCTCCTCCCCTGAACGCACCCAGGGGCCCAGTGTTTTCACACAGCCATGGCTGCGATCACCGATCAGCGGTCTTTGGTGACAAAATCGGAAGTGCTCCCCAGAAACCACAGGCAAGCTGCACTCTAGAGCACACGGGAGAGGTGTACTATTATTGGAGCAAATGTGAGGCCAGCGGTGTGCATGCTCCGTATATCGGTTGAGTGCATTTACAGTTTGTGTGTGGGCATGTGGTGGTAGCTCAGTGACAGTTATACATGGCTTCCATTTACACAGCATACACACACACAAACACACGGCACACACACACTCTCACGGAGAGAGAGGGATATTTTCGCTGGCACATACTGGCAGTCGGTAAATGCAAACGTGACCTTTGTTTCACACATAGGGTCAGAGTACACAAACGTATTAACTGCTAACTGCTATGGATGCTGGCGAGCTCGATGAATGCAAGTGTTACACGGCAACAGCAACTAACTGTGAGGTATTGTACACATATGAGTAATTTTCAACACGTTCATCATTTTTGACAAAGCTGATTATAATGTGCTGAGTGCATAGCTGCAGGCATGATTTTTTTTTCTCTCCTGTCGGCTGCAAGTGTGGGATGAGGCATATGTTGAATGTGTTTAGCGCGGCTCATAGCTCACATGTTTGTGTAATGTTCCCTGCTCTTCATGTTACAAATTCCGCACAGTTCAATATGTCATGTGTATAATGAGAGGAATGCTTGAACGGCATGTGTGTACTGCTTATTGTGCGGCTGCGATAGCCTCGACGTGCTGGGGCTAATTACGAGTGTCTTTTATAGAGGCACGGTCAGACTGCACTCACTAGTATCTCTTCGTCCTGGGAGGCCTGTACTGCAGTTGATTTTAATATAGATAAATCATCACTGACCTTGTAGAGTACTTTACATGCGACTTTTCCCTCGCTTATTAACGATGTCCAGTGCAGAATGTTTGCACTCACTGACCAGCTGTTTATTAGTGTGCTATGTCAATACTGTGTTCAGCTGTCACAGTGACAGATACAATGTACATGTACATGTATCCTTGATGGTTTTAAATAAAGCTCTTGTGTTCTTTATATTTGAACACTGTAACAATGATTACATTATTATGTCCATAATATGCTTTATGCAGTGGGTCTTCATGAAAGAATATTTCCCATAGCACTGAAGTACCTTTTAGGGGGTCATGTTTCAAATAAAGAATTGATGTGGATAGAATTTTTTTTTGTTATTGCATGTGGAAGAGAGCTAAAACTTACCTTTTTTGTCAGAATGCCAAGTACAATGTACATGATACATTTGAAAGTTACAGAACCTATTTACACGTTACACGGATGGCTACAGTGTAATCCCATACGTAGCCTACACAACATACATGTAGACTCTGCAGTTTGATAATGTGGCCTATAAAGTCATTATAATGTTTCTGGTAGTGTCCATACATCTTACACATATGCTCAGAAAGCCTCTGTTTCTGTACGTACAGTATGCTTTTTTTAAATGTGCATAATTGACTTTTCAACCTTGCACTAAAATGATATGTAAATGTTGTATTGAAAAGGGGAAACGATGGGGGCATTCAGGTAAAGAAGGTCAAACTTTAGTTTGTCCTTGCACTAAAGTAAAAAGCAAGTAAAATTATGCAGCTTCAAATCCTTTCTATAGGGCTAATGTGAGATGGTTATTGATAATGGATTCATATTTAGTATCAAGTCTAGTGGGGAAAGATACATGTATGGCCACCCCACGTACATGTATGCATGTGCATGGGGTGTGACCTTTCCTCCAAAACAATGTATGAACCATACATTTATGTGCGCCCAATGTACTTTTATACTATAGTCCGCATTGTTTCTTTGCATTCAGTCCTAAATGCCCGCACTATAAAACAGCTGAGTTTTGTTCCCGTCCACAGCTCTCTGTCTGCCCTCTGTGCATCCATGGTATCCAGTCTATTGTGTTCCTCCTCCGATCCAGCGGCCCCGGCTACCAATGCTCCCCCCTCTCTCTCTCTCTCTCTAAACATTGCAGCCTTTTGTCTTGTTTAAACATGGCTGAGTTGCTACACCCCTGGCTCCATTGAAAGATTTGTCCGCTTTCATTGTCCTCCAAGGGTTACATAAATACATAATGCAGACGGGCAGAAAGGAGGAGAAAGGAGGAGAAAAAGACTCTGTGACTTGATTTCTGTTGGGAAGTCTGTACTCTAAAAAAGAGGAGAGAGTGGGAGAAAAGGAGAAAAGAGTGTTAACAGTCGCTCTTAGCTCTCTCTCTTGTGCTTCCCACCTGGAAGCTTTGTCAACAGGGTTCTCTCTGGGCATTGTCAGGTATTCATGGGGCTAATAGGCAGGTCAGGTGTTGACCCCCATCCTTTGTCCCCCCTCACATCCCCTTAGCTGAGGAGGGAACCCAGCAATAACAATGATCATCTGGCGGAGGGTGGCATCGAGTTCCGCCAAAATCACTGGGAAATTTGTTCCTCTGAAATGGAGTCGGGCAAGAGGAGGGTGCTGCGAATTGTAGAGAGTTGCCACTATCCCATACAATATTTGCTTCATTGCAGTTTTACACACTTCTCTATAGGTCTGGGTGTTTTTTCTTCAAAGATTTTAGGCCCATTTGAAGGAATGGCAATAAGGTTTAGAATATTTATATTCTAAACCTTATTAAATGAATACAAATTCTCAGAAATAACAGTTGTTTTAAAAACAAAAGAAGAAGACAATTCTTGTAAGAAATAGTTTGTAGCTAATAAGCAATACAAACTGCCCTATCAGGAAGAAGTGACCTGACCTTTGTCTTCCATGATGAAATGTTTGCTCATTTTGTGACTCACAAATTTCAAGCTGCAAAATAATTGAATCTTACCCGACACCACACTGATTTTCTACAAATTCTACAATTCAAGAAAGTTTGTTGCCTTGAAAATAACTAGTTTTTAAGTCTTGAACGCTTCATGTCATGAAGGTGTCGCAGCCCCTAGCACATGGCAGTTCAGAAGGAATAAAGACTGTTCATTTCTGCCTAAAGTCATGAATGGGAAGTTTTGTAATCCTCGCCAGATCAGCTGTGCTCTCTAATTGTAATTCTGCCTTTTCTGTTCCCCCTTTGTCTGCCTGCCTCTTTTGTTAGGAATTTACCACAATACTAACTCTCATTCTTGGATCTTAACCTCTACAGTAGTTGGAAAACTGAAGTTTAGTCTTGAGTTTTACCGGTAGTTACGAACAAGTTTCTGATAATGGATGCTGGATGGCTGTTAGAAGTGTTAGCCGTACTGATGGCTCTCAAAACCACTGACATTCACAAACTTAAACTTATTTAAACTCTTGCCACCATCTTTTGACAAGGACTGTATTAGTTAAGGCCTGTGTTTATTAACCACATACAAGTGTGTACTCTTCTGACAACAAAAAAAGGAAAGAAGGATGCCATTAAAATGTTAATTTTTAAAAGAGACAAGTCATGTTACTACAGTTTTTGTGAAGTACTTCCTGAAAACAGACTCTCAGTTGAACCTTCACACAAATGAAATGCCCATTTGAAGTAGATGGTCACATACTGTACACACATGTACAGTACATACACCTTTTTATGAGAAATTTTATCCAACTATCCATACATTCTGAAACTCTTTTTATACTTCCTTGTAGGCTTGTACAGTTATAGATAACGTTAACATGATTTTATACTTGTATGTGTGAGCACTGAACAATCTTTTCCCTACGAAGATGGGCTGTCACTTTTCATTTCGACCTCTCTATTTCAAAGAAAAGTGGCACCACATTTCCAAATGTGATGCAAGTTTCTATTAAAGCTGCACAATTTCTGGGAAAGTTGCCAAATTGATAATCTTCTTTGTGTGGGACCAAATGAAAGTGAATCAGTGAAGAACGTGAATTTCCAGAGGATATGACGAAACCGAAGGGAGTCATTGACTCTCTCATTTCTGATCAAATACGGATGAAAATGTGTGGACAGAGGAAGTAATTCACACTAGTTTAGCTTTGTGACTGATGGGAATGCACTATTAAATAGGATTACTCGCATCACTGCAAGTCTGTTGTAACAGTGCGTTTGGATGTGTTTTTGTTGTTGTTGAATTAAATCATATTTCATGTTGCATTCAGTGATACTGTTATTTCATCAGATTTGGATGTCAAGCTTTTGTTGATTGACTTAATGGATAGAGTTCTTTCTTCAATAAATATCCATATGCAGAAAGTGTGAAGTTACATGTGTCGTTGTATGAATTGCACGTGAAAGAAGTGCACTCAAAATATCCACATAAATTTGATGCATGCATTCCATAATTCTTTTCATACGTATTAACAGATTTTTTTTTGTGCCTGTCATCATTACTCTTTATAGTTATTAATGAAGTTCTTTTCTTCTTTTGTTGCAGACAGGGGATTACAAGCCTCTCTAAAGGATTATATAAAGTGGAATATTATCATGGACGCCAGCTCTGGGTAATGACGCAGTACAATGTTGTGTCATTATGATGAAAGACAGTGATTCTTGCCTGGCGAACCCCAAGTACACTCAGTGGATCCTCGAGGCCATTCGCAAGATCAGGAAGCAGAAGCAGAGGCCCAATGAGAAGCGCATCTGCCATGCGGTCCGGCACGGCCGGGGCCTGGACCACGCGGACATCAAGGAGCAGTTAGAACTCTGCGTCCGCGACGGCAATGTTTTGAAGGTGATGAATAAAGGGGTCGCGTCCTACCGCGACCCCGAGTTCTCTCCCGGCACTCGGGGTGGGGGCCGCGGTCGTGCCAGCCGCGGCACAAGCACCACCAAAATTCTCGGGAACCTCACGCTCAGCACGGATTACCTTCGCCTCATTCAGAGCACCATCAAGCAGTTGGCCGAAGGCGGCTCCACGCTCAAGAGCGTGGAAAAGTATATTCGCCAAACTTACAATGTTGACACCAGGATGGAAAATGACCTAAGCAGCAAGCTGAGGCTTGCTGCCAAAAAGGGAATTGCACAAGCAAAACTGACTAAAGATGGTAAATTATTCAAATTGCCAGACCAAAATCATGATAAACTAAACAAACTTCAGGGAGACAATACAAAAAACAATGTGCAGGTAAGTTGTACGTGTACATGTACATGACAATTTTCTTTGTTTCTTTACATGCAGTGTGAAGTGCTTGATGGAAAGTTTGTTAGACATTTTCCACAGGTGATTACATACAATGATAATATTCCATGATATCACAGGTTGATGTTTCGTCATATACATGTAACTAACTACCAGTAACCTTATTTATTTACAAGTTTGTACTTTAATTTTTCACATTTTTTACTCTATAAAGTATTGCTTTTTATATATCAGATATTACAATATTTCATATTACAATTTTTTTGATGTTCTGCATAAAACTTACTTTTATAAATACTTATTGTGATATTCATGTATAGATCCAGACCATTTTCAATTTGTTCTTGTAAGAAGTGATTTTCTCAATTTCAGTTTATATCTGTCACACTGATTCATACCCAAACACATATTTCAGCCTTGAAATCAAGCTACAGTAATATCAATATGGTTGCAAGTGTATATTTAGCCTGGTAAAGCTTGTGAATCAAGGGAAAGCAAATGTCAGGTAATGTTATCGGATGTTACGTTGGCCCTGAGACTTTCCTGTTGTCGGCAAGGCAGCCCAACATCTTTGAGGTACAGGGTGGGTTTTTCTCGCGTGTCTGCTTTGCGCTTAATCTTGACACGTATAGGCAGGGAGTTTCTGACGTGATCACCAATTAACCATGCAGGTAGGTACAATTACCTGCAAATGGGGATGTTAAAAGTACCATGACTTTGTTTTGTTTGTGTTTTTTGTTTTGTTGTTGTTATTGTTATGGTTTGTTATCGTGTTGGGGCATTTAAAGTTTACCCTTCTTTTGTGATAATGTGTAAATGTATTTCTTTTAATATTCATTGAGTTATTTTTACATCAACATGTACCGTACACCTTTGAGAGAAATTCCCTTTTTCAGAGGAAATTTGACAGCACGACAATGGTAGAAAATGGAAACTTCCCTTTTCAGAGGAAATTTGAAGGCAAGACAATGGTACAGTAGAAACTTCCCTTTTCAGAGGAAATTGGGATGTGTGACATGAATGTTACTTTGGAAAATTATCTTCTCAATGCATTACATGCAGGCCTAAATACAGTGTAGTAGCAAATTTCTCATAGCATCTCTGATATTCTGATCAATAGAGTTTGCACTTTATATTAAACTATATCAACACATTATTTTCCAGGGCAATATGGACACATTTTCACCCCAGATATGTGAGATAGTGACACATTGTTATTAAAAATCACTGGATCTTGATGGAGATGGATGATGAAGCTCACCCAGTGGAATATTAACCAGAGCCAACTCCTAACTTCAGTACATATTTATAATACTATTGACTGAAACCTAAACCAAACACTCTTCCTTACACCTGTTTCTGATGCAGTGACGGAGCCCCTTGTAAAACAAAGAGAGATGTCTCTTGAGTGACGTGAAACATGAAAGACGCCCCAAAATAATTAACATTGCGAACATAATCTCTGTCTGAGTCACGAGCCCCCAATCCCTCAAGAATGCATACCTACAGTGGATTGTTTCACATTTCAAATAAATGTACAGGGGCTTTCTTTTTATATCATGTTTGCTGTTCATTCAGTATGAGATCTGGGCCCTGCTTCATAAAACTTGTTATGAATGACAAGTTACGATAAATGTTATAAGCTACTGAAATAGTGGCATTTGATTGGCTGAGAGCTAATTTGTCATAGACTTTCAACTTTTGTTATTGATAAGAAGTTTTATGAAACAGGGTTCTGGTGTACTTTCTCTTCATACCAGGTGTGAGGTACAGATTGACACCATTCTGATGGTGACTATGATTTGAATAGGGCCTACAAAGTGTTTGAATTTTGAGGAAAATGAGGAAAATACAAGGAAAAATGTACATTTTGTACATGTCCAGGGGGGTGTTTCACAAAGATCTTAAGTTGAACTTATCTCTTAGTTGGACTTAAAAATTATGGAAAGCCGTTAGCATCTTTGAAAATAGTTTGTAAAAGTTATTTTGAAAGGCATAAAATGTTGATTCAAATCATTCAAACATGTATCTTCTATCATCAAGGAGATTTAATATTTTGGATGTGGAATTTATAAAAAGTCTAAAATACTTGAATTTCTGCTTTTGAATATATTTCATTTTAAGGCTCCAATGGCTGTCCATAATTTTTAAGTCCAACTTAGTGTTAAGTTCTACTTAAGATCTTTGTGAAACACCCCCAGGTGCAAAATCCCCCCCCCCCCCCCATCAAACAACTTTTCATCAAGGAGCCCCTGCAAACAGAAAAGTGTTTTTTAGTTTTTAGATTTTATTCTGATATACACAATTGGTAGGCCTTGGACTTTGCATGATGATTAGTAAACATTGGAAAACCTGGAAATGTTCTCGTTGGAAATATAAGAGCATTGTTGGCAATACACCAGCATTGTTGGCAATTGCATTGTTTCTGGAATGTTCTCGCTTGGCTTGAAAAATAACAACTCAAGCAGAAAATTGCTATTGCAACATTTCATGGGGACAGTCCCTGAAAAACATTTCTATGCCCTGCCTGCCTTCCAGATATAATTTTGAAAAATATTAAGCAAGGAAAATGTAAAAAGTCAATAAAATGTAGCATTAGTATTGTGGGGAAAGTCTCAAGTTCCTGTTATATTTCTTTACCCATACCTTTGTTGTTGATAACTCATTATCTAAAGCAAGGACAAACTTAGAATAGAAGTCAATAAAATGTAACAGTAGTCAGAACACTGCTTTATCATGAATGTTAAAGGAATATTGTTTCTATTGGATTATCAATATCAAGTGTTGATAATCAGGAACAGAAGCATCACATGTGCTCCGAAGTTGTCAACATCAGTGTGTAGAATGTAACTTCTTGTTTCATTCATGATTTGTCCCACCTGGACGAAAACCGGAAAGTTTCCAATCGATTCTGAAACGATGTTGTCATGCTGATGATATCATTGATGTCTGCCCCGAATCCCTGATCTGATTTGTCATCGTCGGGAGATTGGGAGGACCCTATCCATATAGTCTGATAATCTTATTCTAAAGGTACATGCACTATTGCCCATTTCAACTTCAAGTGTTAAAAGCAGGGACTGCACTATATAGCAAACAAAGCCTAAGCGGTACCCGACGATCCCCCATGATCCCCTTTTTCTTATGTTAATTGAGAGCTGATTTGATGAGATAACCACCTGTCAGCTCAGTTGCCATGCAGTGAGGTTTAATCCCTCTTGGCCAAACTAGTGCAGATAGGATTTATAAAGGTGTTTGAATTATGCACAAATCTACAATGTATCTTATAACTTTAGAGCAAATAAGATGAACAAAAACAAAGTTGGTCTCCAAAGTTATTGCCTTCATGTTCAAGAAAAAGTTGCCCTCCACCAATAAACAAAGAAGAGAAAGAATTTTTTAAAAAAAAATTCTTTTTTTATACAGTAGGCTTGCAGATGCACTATGTGAGAGAGAGAGAGAGGGAGGATTGAGGAGTCCTGAAAAGGACTCTCTTTAATATTTCTTGAGGGTGTGTAGTCATGAAAAGGACTGTTGGTGTAGTCTTGAAAAAGACTGTTGGTTATCTTTCTTAGCTTATAGTTCTAAGGAGAACTATAGCACCGATTGGAGAGGGTGGGTGGTGGGAGTGGCTCGACGTTTCGCACAGGTTGACTATCCGTCGTCACCCCTCTCTCTCACATGGTGCACCCACAAGCCTACTGTATATCTACATCACCATGCACGCCGATACTTAGAAGCAGCATCTAAAACACACTTGTAGAGCTCTCAAACCAAGGGGATCAAACTTGCTTTGATATATTTGCCTCTTGTTTATCTGTGCGCTATCCTTTCTCTCACCTGAGTTGTCTGCTGGTTGCTCAAGCATGTTTCCAACCTCGGCTGGATTTCATGCCAGACTGGCTAAGAAAAGGCCACAGGATGTTTTTGCTTGCTGCGTTGGTGTGTTGCTGAACTGCCTCCACAAGTGCATCCCAAAAGTACTTGCCCCCCCCCCCCCCCCTCCATGGTACATGGTTAGTCACTTTTTGATTGTATGCAAGTGATATACTCTATTATATCTTTGCATGGACCTACAGTACATGACATGTACATGTACTGTACTTCGTGTATGTGTACAGTAGGTCCATGATCTTTGTAAGCACTTTTGCAGAGGTTTGGACAGGGGAAAAATTAATTTACCGTATTTGCCGGCGTAAAGGCCGCACCGCCGTATAGGCCGCACCCCCGATTTTGACATTAACCAAAAAAAAAAAAAAAAAACTTTTTTTTTTTTTTTTTTTTGGTTGTTGTTGATGTTTTGTTGCCGAAAACCCACGCGGGGAAGGACCTTCATTTAACATCGAGGTGCAGTTAAAGGCGCTGATTTGTGCTTGTAAACTTGTCACAAATAATAGTAACAATGTCGTTTTTAGAAGAATGTGTAATAGGCTTAATGTGTAAGATCATTAATGTAAATTAAACACAATAGAGTACCTATGGTACCAATGGTGTACCTTGTGGTACACCATTTGTTATAGAAAAAAAATTGAGGAATTATTATTATAAACTACATATTGAGATCTGTTAGAAAGATTACTTTCAAACAAAGATGACAGACAAATTTAAGTGTTGTTGTAGTTTCCGAGTGGTGAGTCAACACACTGATTACTGAGCTGGAAGACATTGCCAGGCATAGCGCCATAAATAATTTAAAAAAAAAAAAAAAAAAAAAAAAAAAAATCATTTTTTACTCTTTCGCCGCATAGGCCGCACCCCGACTTTTTGATATTTTCTCTTCCAAAAATACTGCGGCCTATACGCCGGCAAATACGGTAAACATTTCGGGTGCTGCTTTTCAAGCTTGGTTGCATGTAAATAACACTCTTTAATTTGTTTTGCTTTGAACTATATGCCAAATTTGGGGGCTCTTTTAAGACTTTTGGGGGCTCTTTTGGGCATTTCTGGGGCTAATTCGCCCCGAGCCCCTGTGTATTTCCCCCCTAGGTTTGGAGCAGGCAGAGTTGCCCTGGAGGGAAGCAAAATTCAAGACTTGAATAGACTTACATCAGTTATTTGTCAGTGCACTATGCAATAAGGTAAAAGAAAATTGAATAAAAGAGAGAACAACA